TGACCGACAGCTCCTCTGGCCAATCGATTTGCGCATGCTCATCCCAGGTCCCGCCCTACACCCCCCCCCTCGTTTTCAGGTCCTTTTCCTTCACCCTAGCGGGGGAGGTGGGGGCGATCAGTGGTCATCGTTCCAGGGGCGCCCCCTCAGTTCTGAGCTGCGGAGGAGCGGCTGCTCTCCCCCTACCCCCACACTCGATCCTCATACCCTGGGTCTGCTTGTTTTGATGCCCTGGGGCGCCGCAATTGGGATGCCTGGAAGCACGTTCTCCTTTTTGTGTGTGTGTGTGTGTGTGTGTGTGTGTGTGTGTGTGTGTGTGTGTGTGTGGCAGTGTGCACATGGAGTGCCCTCATCCGAGTCCAGGCCCCAGCTGGGTCGCCTGCACTGGCTCTCCCAACGTGGCGCAGGGCCTCCCCTTCCCCACGAGGGTGCAGTCCTGAGAGGAGGTACTGGCGGGGCAAGGACCTATCTGCAGGTCACAAGCCGCTTCTCCTGGAGCAGCAAGACCCTCCTGTGAGTCCGAAGCGGTGGTCTGCTGGCCTGATTTTCTGCAGCTGAGCCTGGCAGGCGAGTTGCGGGGCTCTGAGCACGTGGCAGCGCCTCTTGAGCCGGTTCCCACCCCCACCCAACTGCACCCTGATCCCACACTTGATTTGGAGACGCATGCTGGGTCCCCAGGGAAACACTGTGAATGAAATCTGTTGCTCTTTCAAGGGTCAGACAGTGGAGTGGGAGGCCTGGTCGGAGGGAAGCCCAACAGGCTTAGCTCAGCACTGGGTCCAGGTTGAGGTGGGTTTCCACCATGTTAATGCTTCCTGCTGCTCAGGCCACAGGTGACCTCACACAGCTGCAGGCTGTTAGGCTAGGCCCTGCCCACTTCTCCCTCTGGATTTATCTGTCCACTCCACAGCAAGGCTTTCCCTCTGGGTTTTGGATTCCCGTGGATTGACCTGCAACATGTCCAAAGTATGTGAGATGAAGCTTCATTGCATATGCCTCCAAGGAGCACTCTGGCTGCACCTTCTCCAAGACTTGTCTGTTCTTTGGCAGTTCATGGGATATTTCAGCACTCTTAACACCACAGTTCAAAAGCATCAATTCTTCTGTCATCCTTAGTCATCCCTTAGAGAGGAATATCCTGCTTCAGAAAGTGAAGGGGCAGCTAAAGGAAGGAAGACCCTCAAACAGGTAGATTGACACAGTGATTGCTGCAGTGGGTTTGAGTGTGTCAGAGATTGTGAAGACGGCTCGGGATAGGATAGGGTTCAGATCTGTTGTTCGTAGGGTCACCATGAGTCGTACTTGACTGGAGGGCACCTAACAACTGTCTTACCTCCAGGGAACTCTGATGGCCTAGTGTTAAGGAACTGCACTGCCCACCCAAAAGTGGTGTTTGTTGTTATGTGCGGTCACCTGCAACTCATAGTGACCCCTATGTACAACAGCCCTAAACCCTGCTCTATCCTATTTTCATCTCACTGTCTCCAACACACCTACCCCAATTACCCCAGTCACTGAATCAATACATGTCATAGAGGGTCTTTCTCTCTTGCACTGTCCCTCCACCCTCCCAAGCATGACTGGTCCCTCCTTGCAACATGTCCAAAGTATGTCAGATGAAGCTTCGGAATCCTTGCCTCCAAGGAGCAGCCTGGTTTAACCCTCTCTAGGTTGAACCTGTTCATTTTCTTAGCAGTCCATGGTATATTCAATACTCTTCTCCAACACCACAGTTTACGGATTCAAATCTACCAACAGCTCCCAATGTACAGTCAGCGATGGGTGGGCTCCACCGTACATCACAGCTGCAGCTTCTCAGCAACCCCCCCCCCCGCCCCCGCCCCGGTATTAGGCCTGTTCTGTTTGCTCTGTGGAACTAGGTCTACCCTCCTAGGGGCCTGCTCTCTGTGGCTCCCCACCTCCAAACCCTTCCAGTCTTCTTAATAGTGACCTTTGGAGGTGGGTATGGATTTGAGAGGTGAGGACGCCTAAAGATCCAGCAAAAACCTGAGAATTGCCACCGGAGTCACCTCCACACGCCTCAGAGCAACAACAGAGCTCTAAGAAGAAACTGCCCCCAGGGTCAGTGCATTGTTGTTAGGTGTCTACCACTCATTACAACTCATAACAACCCTATGAGCAACAGATCTGAACCTTCATACACTGAGAGGTTAGTGCATACATATGTGTATTTCACTCTAAATAGGCTGTTTTGGAATTACCTTGGGCTGGAGCTTCAGTCACAAGAGGCATACCTTTTCCTAGCTGCCTTGCAACCCACCTTCCTGCCCTGAAGGCCCAGGGTCTGGCTTTGTCTTGAACCCCACTCCCTACCACCACCATACACACCTGCTCCCTTCCTGACTCAGCGTCTACTGTGCTCTTTCTCACCAGGGTCTCCCTTGCTCTCACAGAGGGATCTTTATTCCCTCACAACCCAAGCTGACCTGCCCTCTCATTCTCCCCTAGTTGCAGAAAAGGTTCCCCTCTTTCAGCTTCTGTAATTGCCCCACTTCCTCCTACGAGGCTTCCTCTGTCAGCCTTTATTTGACACCCAGAGAACAGCTGGCTCACAGGTAGTTAAGGACAAGCCCCATGGAGACTGAGTTGTGCTGCCAGAAACACCAGGCACGTGGACTGAGTGGCACGTGGGTCCTCCCAACTCTGTTCCCAGGAGTCACTCATTGACGTAAGGCCTGTTGCAGTGTCATTTAAGGCAAGATCTTCTGGGTCACGTTCACAGATTCCACCAGCATGGTGATCTGCCCCAAGCCTATGGATGACTTCCTCTTGGTCAGAATGAAGACTACCTCCCTCTCCTCGGGGGCCCAGTACCACACAAAGGCTCACTTCCCCTTCTCACCCTTCATACTATCCTGCCTCCCTCACGTGCTCTCCTCCTTACTAGCCTGGTGGGTGGTGGTTGCTAGGTGCTGTTCCAGTTGGAACCGACTCATAGCTGGTCCTCCAACAGGTTTACAGAGACTCAATCCCATGAGAGGAAGTTGCCCATTTTTTCCCAGTGGAGCAATTGGTGGATTTGAACTACCTGCCTTTGGATTAACTGTGCAACTCCTTACCTCTAAGCCACCAGAGCTCCCGTACTGGCCTGGTTATTGCCCCTTAAATTTCCAAACTTTCACCTTTGGACCATAACCTACCCTCAAACTACCACTCTGACTTTTATTTCAAGTGAGACTTGAAGTCCCACTTCCTCCACAAAACCTTTTGGACAGATCTCCGAGGACTGGGACCTAAGGCTATTTCTGACTTGGCCCAGTAGCTGTAGCTGCATAGTTTGGTGAATGCTCGCTGTGCTCTGGGCCTCCAGCCCAAGATGCCACTAAGGGAAGTCACTGCTATTGTTTTGGAACCAATTCATGGTTTCAACTTGTGGCTGACACTCTGGCGGGTTTTTAGAGACTGTAAATTGCATGGGAGGAGATTGCTTTTCTTTCTTCTTCAGAACAGCTGATGGATTTGAATCGCCTGTGTTTCTGTTGGTAGTAAAATTCTGTACCCACTAGTCCGCCTAAGCTCCCTAACCCAACAAAATAATCAACATCAATCTATAGAGTGACTGCATTTCTGTTACATACAAACAAGAGGCTTTAGAGAGTGAGACAGAGGGGTGTTAAGTTTTATACAGGGTGAGGGCCAGGAGACATAGCCACAGTGACACAAGAAAGACTACCTAGGGGTGTCCAGCAACTTCCCCACCATTTTCCACTTACTTCTCTGTTTGCTCACAGTCTACGTGATGAGATTAGCTCATCTGTATTAAGTATCTGCATGTTACTTCTGGTCTGTCCGCTTGTCATATGCTCCTTGGAGACTGTGATAGTTGTACTAGGCCCTTCTTAGTGAGAAAAACCCCAAGGTCAATTCTATCTGCTCGTCTGTATCTATCACTCTGTAAGTTAGAGCAGTGCCTTGTGTAGATAAGTGGTTACTCTTGAAGGATCTTTTTTCTTTAAAATTTTAATTGCATTATTATGTTGATGTTGCTGTTGTTATACTGTTGTCGGGACTGACTGATAGCTAATCCTCCAGTGGGTTTTCAGAAACAGTTAATTGTACAGGAGGAGATTGCCCATCTTTCTCCCATGGAGCAGCTGGTAGATTTGAACCACATGCCTTTGGGATTGCAGCACAGCATCATAGCA